CTGGTTTTGCAGATCCATCATCTATCCGTGGAAAATCCGAGGAGGGAAATCTACACCTTTCGTCTCATTTTTCCTGGCCTTTGTGTTCTGCCTGTACAATGGCTTCCTGCAGATCAGATACCTGAGCCATTATGCTGAATATCCCGCAGACTGGGTTAAACACCCGTGCTTCATCACTGGTAGGTGGCACCTAAGTTTCTGGCTTAGGTGTTTTTGTTGTTTGAATGTGGCGTGGTTTCAAACATTGCAGGTTAAAGATAAGCAACCTCGGTTTTGCTCCTCACATATCGAGAGGGGATTTGATTCCAGAGTATTTATTTGTTTTTGCTCATTTCCAGTTTCAGTGGCTTTGGGGCTACCACAAAACAAAATACACTCTAAATTACACACTAAACAGCCAATTCAGACAATAGACAGCCAGTGGCTCCTTCTCCTCTTCCCCATGTCTGGAAACAAAAAGATGCTTTATCCTCTTCTCCAAAAGATGCTTTAATTTAAACATCGGAAACAAAAGTCTAAGGGTTTTTGGACATATTGTCTATTCGGATCACAGCATCGTTCCTTTAGAGAAAAAAAAGGTCCAGCTCATACATAAAGTAAAATATGTTTTAAAATATCTAGATTTTTATGACGGTAAACTTTTACAATGATTAATAATTAGAAAGTATTTTAACTTTTACATGTGATGGTTTCATAATTTGACATTTAATCTTCATATATCTGATTGTAGATGAAAAAGGTGATTACAAAAAGTTTAGTGGAAGATTTTTTTATTTTCTTTTTAGTGATCAAGGCAATGTTTTAAGATGAATTTGGCCCTGAGGTCTGTATAGAGTTGTAAATGCTGACTGGATTAATGAAACATGCCTCTTAGCGTGTTTTTAGGCATCTGAGTGATTTCAAAGGGAGATGGCTAACAGATTTGGGCATTTTATTTATAAGGAAGTTTTACTTTAAAAAAAAAAAGACAACCATTGTGCATACGAGGTAATAATACCAACCTTACAGACTTATCTAAACAGACTATTTAGCATTTAAAAATGTTCAAAGCTTTGCTTTACTTCCTCGTTTGTTACTTCCTAAAGGCTCGTTTGTCATTCTGTGACTCTTGTTTAGATATTAAATACGAAAAGAGAGATTTTTATTGCGTCTTATTTTGAGATTAGTAAATGTATCTCTTCTGAGTTTCCTTTTTAAGCTTTCATCTGTTTATCTTTTTATCTGAGTTAAGGCAGCTGAATAACCAGGTTTTCAGATCGTCACTCACAGCTATAACCCAAAGAAAAAATAATTAAAAAAACATAAACAAGAGTCAGGATCACTTTCCATGCAGGGATATTATTTTATCTGACTGGTCACTATAAGATAAACACACAAGAGTGAGTATATAACAATAACATCTTCCAAAAATTGAACATTTCTAACTGACATTATGGGCCTGTAGCCCATTATAGACAGGCTGTTCGTTAGTTAGCTTTAGTTGGAGTTACAGGTATGTATGCTAATAGCTTTAGGGCTGAATTAGCCCCTGGGGCCTTTGCCTGGGGTCCTGATGGAGTTTAAACCGTTAAAAAAACCAGTTGAGCTGGTTCTTTATACATGTCTGTACGTGTTAGGCCTTCTGGGGAAACGTCAGAAAGCTCAACTGCCCTTTTTTAGCTGTTTTCTGTAAAAAAAGAAAAGAAAAGAATGAAAAATAGTCTCCATTTCAAGCATTTCTGCCTTTGTCTCCAGGGTGTGTTTTGTGGTTAGCTGGATTGATCATAAATCTACACTCTGACCACATCCTGCGAAACCTGAGGAAACCCGACGAGAGTGGATACAAGATTCCCACAGGTGAGTCCTTTTCTTTGTTTTGAACAAAATTTTTATTATTTTTTCAGAAATAATACAATGTGGTACGAATATACAGTGGGGGAAATAAGTGTTTGAGCCCTTGCTGATTTTGCAGGTTTGCCCACTTACAAAGAATGCTTATTTTTCCTCATCAGATGGTTCAGATCAATTTTTATAAATTCATATGATGTGATTTTCTGGAATTTTCTTTGGGATTCTGTCTCTCACTGTTAGAATGTACATATGATGTGTATGTATGTATGTATGTATGTATGTATGTATGTATGTATGTATGTACGTATGTACGTATGTATGTATGTATGTATGTATGTATGTATGTATGTATGTATGTATGTATGTATGTATGTATG